GAAATATTTGAAAGGAAATAACCAGATTGATTTTATTAAATAAATCTAACTACATCTGAGGATTATAACAATAATAATTATCGATGTAGGTGCTATTCACGCAGGTATTAGAAAATGGTATTGACTTTGTTGAATAAACTAAATTTATTATTCTAAATTATAACAATCATTGTTTGTACTAAATAAGACATTTCTTATAAATGAACTGGGAAATTTAAAGCAGAATATCAAGATTGATTTGCTTAGATTAGTGATATTACTAGTCAAGGTTACAATAAGAATAATTCGCTGTAAATAGAAATTCGTATCTCTCATAAACAATCAGAGTGAAACCGGGGAAATATTTCCGCAAAATTTAAAAGGCACCAAAATACCGGCGACTACGTTTGGAGTTGTTCTCGATTGGTTGAAACCGAATGACGCGGATTTCGTCGAGAATATATGGTTTTGAATAGAGACGAGTGACACTCTGAACAATTCATTGTGAAACGTAGATACTACATGTTGGCCCAGTATCGTGGCGATAAGCATCGATTACCAACTCGAATCCCATGTGTTCGTGTAATCGACGGTAGAGTTTAGTTGTACATGAGCCGAAAACGCGTATCGTTCTCGCGCAACTGCAGTTCTCGCACTTGGATGGTTATCCTGATGCGATTTATGTGCTTCCTTTACAAATACAGTAGATTACAAAATTCTAATGGCGCAGTCGTCTCTCATTAATATACGGGACATTAGATCGGCTTAAAGGCTGAGAATATAATGCCATGCTATTCAAAACCGTTACTGTTCGAGCTCTATATTTTAAACACTTATTGTATTAATTTTATTCAGCGTTGGATATAGAGTTGTATATTTGCACCTGCATCTCTATTAGTAAATCTACGCTGAAGCTTATATATAGAATATATAAACACTATAAAGTTTGTCATTTCTTTTTTTATTTAAGAATGAATGATTACGTAAATAGTAATTTCTATTGATATAATATAAATTTCTATTATCTAATTTCTATTATTCTATAAAATTTACTAATTATGTATTTCAAATTGTAAGGAGGTCATCGTTCCATTTTCTTAATATGGTATTTCTTTTAGAATCGTCATATCATGAGTGATAATTATAAATGGATAGACAGGCGAAACAAACGAAGAGATTAGCGACGCATTAGCTGTTAGATCTCGACTATCTCAGCTCGGAACTTAATAATCTGGTGAAAATTGACTTGACGAATGTCAACTTTCTTAAGATCCTGTTGCATTCTGAAGCATTAGCTAAAGTTTCAAAGCATGTAGGTGTCGGAAGAGGTTGATGCACGCGGGTCTTGTGCACGAGAACGGAGGAAGATACATAGCACCAGTATTAAATGGAGGAGTGTAAGCTGTTTAGTGCTTGGAAAATGTGACGAAAGCTCGAGTAACGCGAGCGAAGTGGATAAAATGCATGATAAATACGAGGCTTTTCGTGACAGTTTCTTCTTACGCATAAATTAAATTGCGACGTCTCCAACTTTTCCAAGACGCACCCTTCCAATTATTCCAGCAAGTAAAAATATCGTGGTACTACACGATTTGTGCCACTTGCTTACAATTATCTGTGAAAGAATCCAAATATGTAGAATATTATTGCAAACGTGTTTCAACTTCAAATCTCAACTTGAATAAAAATAATATAATCTGTATTTTAAATTCATCATGAAGATTTAAAAAATAAAATAGATTTACTTGAATGTAACACATTTTATATAAATTTTATATTGAATATCGTGAGATGATGAAAATGAGACAACTGGAGTGTGAATGAGCAGTGAATTAATATACACCTGTTGTACAAATTTATTCTGTTCTATATTGGCGTGTTAAAGTGCTGAGGGCGAAGACCTGGGTGATTGCACTTCAAGGTAGGAGCCTGCGTGACATAAGCAAGAACTATTCAGTTACGTAACGATGATTTTAATTGGAAACGTACTGCTCTGCTTTATATTTTTCCTATTTCTTTTTCAACAATACGGGGACTTTAGACTTCCAAAGCATTTCAAGGTAGAAAATAAAATACATTCATTCACTCTAATAAACTATATTATTTTTAAAGTATTATGAAGTAAACTAAAGAAAATAATTTTTACCTTTCTCAGCAATATCATTAAACCATTCAATTTAAGGTTTTCCTTTAACTGGAGTGCATCTAAAACAGAAAGTGAGATTAACATTAATTAATCATATCCAATATCAATTAATGCTAATTTCAATTTATGCATTGTATTCAACGATTTCAGATATCAATAATAAATTATATATAGAAATTAATATTAATGTCCGTTTCCATTTCTCTTTCATTATTATTACCTCATATTGTTTAATTCGGAGTGTAAAGCTCCAGGAAAGATATTAATCTAAATTGTTCTATCGCGAACGCAACTCAGCCCCATTCATAATTGACCAATTACTCGAGGTCATTGACGAAATATGAATCTGAGTAATGATTTTGACATTGAACAACACCTATTGTACCTGAGTGCCTTTCACTCTGGATCGGCACGTGTGCGAGAAAGGTCTTTGCCGCCGAAAAATTTTGTGGCTTGCGTTGCTTTGACTCGGGCATAAATTTTAGAGGATGGAGGCGAGAGCGAAATCTCTCGTTTTTTTTATGTCTTTTACGTTTATATAACAAAACCACACACAGGGACACTGCGGCATGAATACCTGATTGTACATGTTACGTGAAGCGTGTGGAACTTTCTGTAGGTGGTCGATTTGCATAACTTGCTAAAACGAAGATCCTTATTCCTTGGATATCATATTCGACTTAGAATACGTTAACACAATCGGCCCGAACCGTATTGAGCGATTTACTCGCGGAATCCTCTATTTAATATGGCTGTTAATCGCTTGGTTCATGGGTACGATGAAGATGAACGAAGAGCTGTGTAAATAAAGTCTTAGAAGTACCTTAGTAGTTACTTTCTAATATATTAGAGAGTACACAATGTAATGTGGGTGTTCAGTATGAGAAATTACGTTATGTGAAAGGTCTGGGTTACGTTGTACTTCTTAATTGAAGGAATAAAAAATACTTTAGACGAAAATGATTTAATTTATTTAACGCAAGTGTAATAAATATTTTACTTTGGAGAAACTAGTATTATGAATCATTCATTGATGAAAGTATACCTTAATGAATACCTTCAAGTCAAATCTTCACTAATGATTTATGGATCGAGACGGATGTCTAGAAGTTTCCGATTATGAATTATTTTATATCATATTTATAGTCATAATATGACAGTAAGTCGATAATTCTTTGAATGATTATCACTACGCGGTGAGTCGTACCATTCAACAGTGAATAGATTCTAATTCTAATCAATCTCGTATTAATAAACATACTGACACATATTTTCTTTAATCGTCGATTATAAAGTTAGTGAAATTAAGACGTTTGTAAATTCACGTCGTCAATGTAGATGTTTTCCCTCGCAATATACCTACATTGACAAAGAGCTCGATTTGTCGGGGCAATCATGACATATGTAAATGACATTTCCCAGATATCGGGGTGAGTACGTCATTATTGGGGATATTGATCGCTTTGTACATAGTTGCTCAATTTATAGGACGTGCAATTCAATTACTAACAGTTTAAATAACGCCAATAATATTCATTTTATAGACACATCTCAATTCGCGTCCTACTTTTTATTTATAGAATAAGGGACAAACGATACATTTCTTTTTTATTCATGTATACATGAAATTATAAAATACTACTTTTAATAATGACAGCGATCCAATTACAACCATATAAAATCGAATGCAAACTTCTAAGAAAAATTCCTGAGAAAAAATGGTCTGCAAGAAATGAAAGAAAAAAATTGTTCAAATAATTGCGTTTGATACCAGGTTGTTTGAGTAACGAAGCGAGATGGCCACTTGACCATGAATCTCTTCTACGCTGAATGAAAATAACACTATTTCCTGAGCACACTGAATTACAGAACATCCTTCGAGCATCTTCCCAACGTAGTCCCTTGCGTCAGTAGAAAAGTTTGGGGAACTTTGCGTCTTTCTAGTGAAAGGAGACGCCGTGGGGCGCCGCTGTATAAAAACCGTCGAATCTTTCGTTTAAAACACATTTCGATTCAACTCCTCGCAGCACGTGCACCATGAAGGCCTTCGTAGTAAGTAGCAGTTGTATCACCTGAATTATGAATAACTCCCAGAGACGAATATAACTCATTTACTAGTCATTTACCAGGACTATTCATTTATTAACTTTATTCAAAAGTATTTAGGCATTCGTAACTAATAAATCGATCACATAATCTTTCAAATCAAACTATACAACGACCAATTACAATGCTATGTAATTGAATTTTTCCTCATATCAATTCTTTCAGTCCCTTAATTTGAAAGCAAAAATTTTTATGATTGACTTTTCGAATTGATCTAAAGTTAGACAAATTTGCCTATTATTTTTGCTTCGTTCTCTTTTTATTTTTTTATTTGATCTGGCATGAATGGCGTTGTAAATTATGTCGTAGGCTCCATTAAATACTATTCAAATCATTCGTTGTCTAGCGTCCAACTAGTAATCAAGAGTTGTTATTTTCATCTGGTTATATTCTTTCTTGTTCTTCTTGTAAAACTTCACTTTAATCAAATGTACTTATTCGTAAACATCAGTGTTCCCAACCAAATAAATCCCACCCGTATAAACAACGTAATTAACGCTTTAGCTGCTTATTTAAAATAAATCTCCACTTTAGAAAAGAACTTTCTAAATTAGCATATGTTAATCTCGACTGACATTAACGTCTGCATACTATCACCAAGTATATCAAAAGGCATCTTTATTTCCAAAAATTGAGTATTATAACTAGATTACTACACATACTGGAATTTAAAGTCCTATAAATGTCTCGTAACAGAGTACTAACACACCAAATTACATTACCAGACATCTCCATCCATAGATCTCTACAAATCGCCTGTTTTCCCATTCAGGTTTCTTTGCTTTCGGTCTGGATGATCGCCGCCGTTGCCAACGCATCGGCAAAGAAACTCGAGAAGCGTGGAGCTCTCCTCGGAGGTCACGACTCTGGATCAGCAAACTACCTCCCACCCGTACCGTCGTACGTTTCGAAACCTGTCGCAGTCCCAGCCCCGACTTATGGTGTCCCAGCGCATGGTCCCTCGTTCGCTGCCCCCGTTCCAGCCCCAACCTACGGTGTCCCAGCGCACGTCCCGTCATACAGCGGGCCAGTCGGCGTTCCATCTTATAGTGGCTCCTTCTCAGCGTCGGTCCCATCCTTCAGCGGTCATGGTCCAACGCTGAGCCCATCCATCAGCGCCCCGGCGTACGCCGGGTCAGCCCCAGGTTCGTCTTATGGTGTTCCTGTTTCCGGGCCAGCTCCGAGCTACGCAGGCTCTTATCATCATTCACTGCCAGCCTCGACCTACGGAGTCCCTCATCACCATTCAGCGCCAGTTTACAGCGGTGTCTCCGCTGGAGTCCCAGCCGTGGGCCTATCCGTTGGACACTCAGTTTCTCTTGGGTCTGACCACGGCGTTTCTCTGGGATCTTCAGGTCTGCACGGATCCTACGGTCTGCCAAGTTTGGAACCTGCCGTTGGAGTTTCGCTAGGATCGGGCAGCTATCCTAGCAAATCCTACGGAGTTCCTTCGGGAGTTGTTTCTGGAGGTCTACCTGTTGGACTTTCCCTGGGTGTGCCTAGCAAATCTTATGGTGTTCCAGCAATTAGCCATGGTAGTGGACTTGCGTTGGGATTAGGGTCCCTGCCAAGCAGCTCCGGTGGATTTGGTCTTCCACATTCCGACGTCCAAGTAGGACACGACGATGGATACTCGTATCCTGTCCCGTCGAAGAAATTGCTCATTTAAATTGGAATCTGTTGATGTTACGTGAAAGAAGGGTCGGTCATGAATATGAAAATCACATGTCTGACCTCGCGGTTGTCGATCAACGGTTGTCGACAGCTGTTGAAAGGTTATTTAGAAATAGAAAACAATCGATGGTACATAGATACAAACAGATGAAACTGGATATTTAAAAGCGAGGACCTAATAGGCTGGAAAAATCATTTGAATCGATAACTACGAAGGGTGGAAATACTTTTGAGCGAAATATGGGAGATTATTTGACACAATTGTTTATATATATTTTTTTACCGTAGTGAATGGCGGAATGTTGTGTTCCTAATCTGCAGGTTCAACTTGTAATACACATTTTTTTGGTTTGACACTGTTTATTGTTGTGTAAAATAGAGTTTTGTATTTGTCATTTATTTTTGTACACATTATTGAAAATGTCTCTTTCACATGTTGGAATAAAAAGTTTGCCAGAGTTCTAATTATCGTAATTGCTTCCTCCTTCTGTCTTAATGATTGTTAAGTTTAATAATAAAAGTTTCACTTTCTTGTCATTTTCTGCAACATTATTGTGGCTTACTATATACCCCTTAAGCTATGATTTAAACTCCAACAATCTGGGACCAAAATGTGATGTTTACATTTGGCCCAAAGAATACATCACGGGCCAGGTTCGTGATAATCAGTTTTGGCCCAAATATCCAACCACGTGCCTCACACGTGGTTGTAGCTTAAGGGATTAATAGTATAGGGATGGGAGCTACCATTCAAGCTGTAGGTTAAGTGACTAAAGGCTAAAACAAAAATATTGAATTTGAAAAAGTTTGACTTTTGATGAGTAATTAGAGCCTGGTGTAACTGGAGCCTTCCAAACTATTCTGTTTATTCAATTTTCATTCAAACTCCGTGATGGATCGTCAATAACTAAACTCTTTTTATATTCAATCCATTTTTATACGTTTCATTTCGTTTTTGGGATATTCTATATCAAATATATAAACATTTCATTCGCAAAATATCGAGGGTAGTTTCTACTACCCCATTGGACATGAATATCAGCCGATGAATAAAATCTGGGCCTGACATTTCTATTAATTTATCCGAATGGTATACTTCAATATAATTTAACCTAAGGTGGTTAAAAATTTACGTCTTAGGTCAACTGTAAAGATTGTCCATGATTCGGTTAATTCCGTTAGCTCACACCACGTTATACATTATTTAATACCACCCCGAAGACCTCCGTGTCAATTTCTCCCTACCTACCCTTTCTTTTTATCCACAAATCCAAGGGTTGTGTCCTCAGTACTCTGGCATACTAATTTTCCATTCAGTTTCTTTTTTTGCAACTTCGGACATCACGTTACACATTATTTAATGTCACCCTAAAGTCCTCTGCGTCTGTTTCTCCTACCTAACCTTCCATTTCCACCTAGAAATCCGGTGGGTTGTGTACTTTTTCTGTTAGCTGCCGCCATCTTCGTAATGGTATCTGTAGTCGTAGAAAGCGTACGTGGCACGCTGGCGCTTCATGATCCGCAGTGAGGTTACCCTCTACCATCCTTACGCGTGCACCCACACAATCACACCGAACCCGGCGCTCACGAAACCCCCAGTCAAAAGCACATACCCGAATACGTTCGTCCGTGTGCACTTCTGTCTGCTTTTTGCCGGAAAACTGGCAGTCACGCACTATTTTACGACTTTCGCCGAGCCTCTGAATTAATCCAAGCTTTTCCGGCTACGAGGATGACCCTTTATGCACTCCTCCCAGAAATGAAGTACGTTCTTTGTTCGTTGCCCCCCGGGGGGGTTACGGTGTCGTTAAGCTGCCGTCCTTGATATCACTTCGTGCCCCAAGCGAAGAGAGCTCCACGTTCGCTTCGAACGAAGAAACTGCGAGATTAGACGTCGAAACAGGAATCATCGCTCAGCTGAAAAAATGATTTGGGCGCGTTTGATAACCTTAAGACGCTCGCTAAGAGAGAAACTTCTTGGGTGGCTGAGTAAACGCATTACTAGCAATAGATGAATGTTGATTACCAAGGGGTAGTTCGCGGCGTTATTTTATCACCGTAACGGAAGAGGCATCGGCAACTTGAAATGCTTGCACCCGTAGAAGCTAATTGTAAACATTTATCTAACGTGAAGGATTTATGGACAGTGCAAATGTATTCGCGAGGCCCTTGCTTAATTACGCGGATTCCAAAGCATCATTAGCACCCTCAGTATTTAAGCTACACTCGGAGAAAGTGAAAGTTTCCGCCCATGGTTGGAATTGTACGAATTCATGCGTGGTAGATTATCGCGCGAAGCACGTCAGGTGAAACTAGAATTAATTGCGAAGCACTTTTCCGTGTGATAAATGCGCAAGTTCGACTTGCGCGATTAATCGATTAGAAATTTTCGTTAGCGAAACTAGAAAGTTACGTGATTTTACAGGTACATGTGTTATGTATGGAATTTAAAAAATGAAATGGATGTATTTATCAGATTTGAACCTGAGGTGCTTCGATGGATTGTTTAAAATAAATCGAGGGAAATTATGTATGTTCAGTATGTAAATAATTCATATTTCTACATTGCAAGGTTAAAATATTTTTAATGACTTGTGTTAGGTATTCTTGAGGATCCTTTTGAAGAATTCGTGAAGAGATACGTAAGAGCTTAGAAAACTTAATTATTAAAATATCTAAATATTCATTTTTGCCACAATATTGCCGATTTATTTTATAAATTCATCCTATTATTCAAATGAAGCACAGTTCACCTGGTTTCTCATTTGGTATTCGTCGCATAACCTTTTCCTTGGGCTCAAGAATGCCGTATTTACACGCATCAGCAAATATGGCACCGATCCATCGTGTTTCGTTTTTGGTAATGTAGTCTTTGGCGCAGTTTAGACGCTTCTTTCTGTTTGTTCCCGTGAATGTCGAGCTTCTTGCGAGCAACTCCTCCACGGTATCCATTATCCTTGATTGCACGTCGAATTGTCTGAGGATGTACTTCTTTCCTCGCTTCTTCAAACAACTCCTTGGTCAAACTTAGATCTCCAACTTGAGGATCGGTTTTCACTTTTCTCAGGATCACGCGTTTGTCTCGGGAATCCAGTACTTTCGGTCGCTCTTTTTTTGCGGAATGGAATCGATGAGGTCTTTATCTTTTTACCGCTTTCTAACTTCTACGTCACTTTCAGTTCTAAATAATAACTATTATTCGTTATTAGTTGGTTATTTTCTTAGTAGATTATCATGTATGAAAAATAGAAGGGAAGAAAACTAAGAAACTACATAAAAGATTTGTATATACACTCTGGTTAAGCTACAACGAATGAGCCAGGTTCGGCAACATCTGTTTCACGACCTAACCGCGAGCTTATGAGCCTAACTTATAAATAAGACGGGCGTCATGATGCTGCTAAGTGCGAGGGACTGGGAGAAAGGAACTGTTATGGGAAACTTTGAGAGAATAAAATTTTCGGAATGCCACCGGATGCGCCTGGAGAACCGTAACCCAACTTACATCAGGAATTAGCATAGTCTGCTTGTTTCGCAATAGCAAGCACGTCTGGCAACCTGGTTGATGTACGATGGGTTACAGTTCTGCAGGCACCTGTGCTTGTTATTTAAAGTAGATTATCGACTGACTTTCTGTCATATTCTTCGTTATTCTTAGTTCTTAATGAATTATTGACGGAATTGTACTAGTGAAATCATGAGGAACATACCAGAAATTATTTTTTAAGGTAATTCTCTGTATATACTATAACTGTATATATTTAACAAAAATTTCTGTAACTTTGCAAAGCAAACAAGATAAATCCACCAAGTTTTAAATACATTTCTCCAATAAATTCTCAAATCCAAAATCTCCAAATTTCCCTCAATTTATAAATTTCCGCACTTATCAATGAGTACATGTATACAATTTTCTTGGTGTACATAATGTACATAACCACGTACATGAAAATTTTTCATCCATTTGGCATGCAGAGTCAATTCCAAAAAGCTGCTCCACATTTTCCTTCCACTCTACATAAACCCGTGGTGAATTTTGGTACGGAGCCTAATGTAGTAGAACATAATTGAATAATTGTTACACCGGCAGACACACGAGCTCGTACAACAGACCGTAAACGTGCAACGTGTTAACGACACGGAATGAAAACGTTTTGTCTAAGATTAATAATCGCCAACGTCGAAACACACACTGGCCATTAAGTTGCACGGCAGTGAATATCGTAAGGCGAAACAGCCGGGACGGTTGATGGTGCATCTAAATTTTTGCTTGGACTTTATATCGGCAGTTAACGTGGATGATATACGCGCATAACGCTTGTCCAGCGGCGCCCATCAACTTTTTGTAAGCGACCACTGGCTTAAGCTTCAGCTGTTAGCTATTCGGGCAAGTTTTATGTTGACCCACGAACTCGTGATTTACGATCGTCATATCGCAAGCGTCGCTAACCGCAACATACTCTCTACTCGTATTCGCGCAACTCAGCGGTTAATTTTCATCCTTAAGATGTTCTGCTACTCGGTAGTCGAGCCTGGGTAAAATTCTTATCGTGATAAAACTTTCGAACGACGAATGAAAGATAAACAACTTTGGGTCCGTTACTTGGTGAGTGAAAATTGGAATTTCAATTATGGAAAGAAATATCTGACGGTGGACGAGCATCCGCGCGATCCAATAAACGTCTTATGTGAATCGCAATGTATTAGTCGTTTTGGTTATTTATTACTGGAATACAATTTTGCATTCTAATGTTATGTCTGAAGAAGACCAAACATCATGGTAGAAACGTTATAAGTGAATAATTAAATTAATTCTGAGGTGGTGTGATTCTTTTGTATTTAATTATTATTGTATTTGTATAATAAATTACCTCGACTGTATTTATAATGCTAAGATTATTAAATCACTTTTTGAATAGAGGTTAATGTATGTATCGTAATTGTCAATCTTTAAAGACTCTGAAGATATGTCTCGTTTGGAATATCAGGAATATTACAAATATTGAAACTACACCAGATAGAAACACGTCCGTAATTACGAATGTTACGTAGCTATTCGTCAGAATAACATGTTTTTACTGTAAATACGCCACACGCGTTGCGCGAATCAAAACATTGACATTAGCTTATAGATATCGATGAAAGGAGCAAGTAAGCCTGTGATGGGTTATAGGAACAACAAGTTCGACTCTCATACGTTTTGAAACATGGATTCACTTTAATTTCGTTTGAATTCGAACTGAAATACAAATTTTTCTTCGGGGAAGAAAGATATTTAAAGTACATAAAACAAAATTTAAAATATATGCACATCGTTATTTTAAAGGAAATCTAATGCATTCTATACCCGTGTTTATTCATGTAATTAAACTCACTTCTAATTAACGGTGAAACATATTCAACTAAAATTTCTCATAATAACTACCCCCTTTCTATTTCCAATTTTGGTCATTAATTACAGGCCATTAGTAATTATTCATAATTTGTCGTGCATTATACAGATAATTTTGATACCAATTAAATAAATTGTTTAAGCAATTGAACCGTAAACCATTTTAACATAGGGAGTAAAAATGTTTAATGTAAAAAAACATGGGTACATTTCAATTCAAGATTTTCTTAATATGATAATTCGATTTTCGCGCTTTTTGTTTGTACAACAATATTTGTAACATATAGTGCAAAAAATATGTGTATCAATGCAACAATTCTGCAAACATTTGCTTTAGCCACAGACTTTCTTTAAATAACATTTTAGAGAATCTATAAAAATCGATACGAACAATTTATTTTTGAATTATTTGAATTAAGCATTGCAAACAAATTTTTATTCAAAAAGTTATGGCGCAGAAAGCACTGGTTTAAAACGTGATATACCTATAAATTCCTCCACTAGCTGTGTGTACGTTTCCACGCACACTGTTCTCCGCGGCGAGATTAAAATCTGACAGATTAGTTGACATTATGATTGAGTAAGCATGCATATCAAAGGTGTCACACGGAGGAAATCCATTGTCCGCCTCGTAATAATTTCCCCGTATTGCGGAAACGAGTTAATATATTGGCAGGTGACTCGTCTTTCGATCTCATCTCCGGCCCAAAAGCAAATTACTCGACCAAAGCGAGGAAATAGCGAGGGTTGCGTCGAGGGGTCCTTCGTGTCCATGGCACGCGATGTCATATCACGTTATCGAGAGCTACTTGTCATTCCCTGCTTTGGCGTCACAGGATGTCCGCGTGGATCATTCAATTAATTCCACCTTTACTCACATAAATACCAACGATAACCGGTAGGAAAGTTCTGCGTGTCCAGCATTGTCAGTTATCGCACGATTCGTGATCTTATGAAGGCACTGGGTAGGGCATTCGAAAATGATTACCTCAATTATCCCTCGTTGATGGAAAACTATTTAACTCGTGTATCCAACAAAAGTTTCGAACACCTCTCGTATTTAATTATATTTCAGGAGATAGTCGTTTCAAGGTTCGATTTTTACTTGAAACAGTGACCTATTGTTTTCTGAGGACGCTAAATGTTTTTATACACAAAGATATATTAGAATTTAGAATTAGAATTAGAATTTAAAATCTATTTATTTTAGAGTTAATTACATTTGTATCGAAGAAGGGAAATAATATACACTTCAATATGATACTGGCACGAAGGAGATAACATTTAAACTTTCAGTAAAAGTTATTGTCGCCTTTATACGTTGCCCGTTATTATCACCTCCGAGAACTGGTAACTACGTGTATTAGTGAAAGGGTGAGTTCAGGATGACCTGTGTGCCGCGAAAGCGAGTCCGGTAGTTATTTAACAGTTAGTCTTTAGTTAGTCTCTGGCCGGTCTTTAGCGAGTTCGTATTGTTCTGTTCGAATATCCAACAGTGTTTGAGAACATTTCAGGTAACATAGAGAGTGATAGAAGGCGATAGGGTAGTCTACCGTCTAGGTTTACAAAGTTCTGTTGTCGCTATCAACTCGTTATATTGAATACGTACATTTGCACTAGATGTATCTTATTTCCCTATTATTCTAATACAAGGCTGTTAGCTATGTTTTGTTTATGAATAGTATATTCACTATTTTCACTTTAAGAATAATTTATTCGAATAAAATATGATTAAGAAATTGTATTAAGTTGTTCCTATAAATCTTCATTCAACTGGTTATACAAATAAAAATTTATCGACCATTGCAAAGGACTCTCTTTTATTAAAAAAATATCACATAGGTAAACCTAGTAATTAATTGGATACATTTCTCACGTTTGGGCGCTTTATTTGCATTTTCAGCTCGCGTATATGTAAAACAACTTGACCTCTTGTAATCTGATCTCGGTAAATTGGCTGTGACAAAGATTTCTGAAGTAGATGTTTTTATTTAAATGGATACTGTAGTTTTTCTAGACAAGATACCACTTTGATAGACTATCTTGTAAAATATGGAGCCCCAGTAATGGGTTTTCCAACTCTATTAAACCTGACATTTATCCCACGTTCTTTTTACTTCGTTGTATTACGTAGCCATTTATTTAAATATGTGGATATGTGGAAAACATTGGATTTGATCTCCACGCGTTCACCACTGGACGCAATTTAATTTTGTTTAAACGTAATATAATAGCGCATGAGCATTGTGCGAGCCATTTGAGCGGTCGTATGTTATAGATTATTGCCGTACGAAGTCGTAAGCCCCTAGACTATTTGTGTTAGGCGTTCATTTATAAATGCCACGAGTCTACCAAAGACCCCGATTGCGATGCTCGCAGATAGTCATCGATACTAACTCTCCTTCAACCCGGCGTAATGCGTTCTGGGTGTGTGCACGTCACGAACATCGCTACTTGAAATCAACTTACCGCTCTATCTGTTCACTAGGCTCGTTAAATTCAAACAATCGCGTTTCTTTTGCCCCGTATTCGTAGTTACACAAACGAGAAAATAACTCTCGCCTTTATTCGTCGACTTATACGTTCTTTGGCGTCCTTTTTCGTTTTCTTGTTAGGTTTTCTCTTTATCGTACACGATTGTGCACGAAAGAATTGAAAATGAGGTATTCGTACGGTGTTTCTGCTTTTCCTGGAAAATAAAGAGAATTTATTGGTAAATACCGAAATGATATTACGATATTTCATTTAAATTGTTTTGTAGAAGGGATATTTGGTTGCTGTGGTTAATGTGAATCGATAACCTGTTTCCACAAATAATATTCCACATGACGAATAAAACAGTATTGTACATTTAAAATATTCAGTGTTTCAATTGTTACTTTAGGTTTCATTTGAGAATTGGGTTTAGGTTGCGAGGATCTTGTGTTGTGTTTGTATGCATGTAGTATAATTCGTAATGAGGATTATTTAATTCTTTATATATGTATGCCGAGATAATGAAATAGGAATTAGAATATTTTCGTCCTATACATATTTCACTTGAATGATTTCTTTATTGATTTTTTTATCTGTATAAGTAAATACAGTTTGGAATTCCTATATATGGTATAATTAACTGTGAAACGTTTTCAATTAACAACTTCAGTTCCCTTCGGTATAATCTAAAATAAATTCAGATAACGATTACATGATACGAAGAGAAAGAATAAATCTATACTCGGGGAAAATATTAAAATCACCTTTTTACTACTATTACTTACCAGTCTTTATTACTATTTTACGTTCACGTAACTCAATATCTACATATTATTTCTCTATCGAGACTAATAAACATATTCGCCTTCCAAATCAGAACAAATGCATACTATCACGAAAGCTTACACTCGTCTCTCCCCAAATTCGCACACGACTCCAAAAACACAATTTCAGAAAATTATCGATACATTTCACCCCTTCCCCTCCATACCCCACCATATCCACCCACATCATAAACTTTCCCCTATAAAAACGTGTACCCAATTTTCCTAACACAAACACCGTTGGAACATCTTCCTTCCGCGGAAACAACTCTACCGTTTCGCAAACAGCGTAATCTACTCCTGTCGAACTCGTGAAAAAGGGCACGGAAGATACAGGAGTGATGGAAGGGGGGGGGGGGGTGAGGTGGTAGCGTCGTGAGTCAGAGAAAGAACAAACGTGAACGAGAAAAGAGCCGAAGGAAAGGGAGGACGAAGGACACGGCTGTTGCATCCTGGCGTAGGAGTGCATCAACAGGATCTCGGCTGGACCATGTAGCTCCCCGCCGTTGGAGGGGATGAAACCAGTCCTTTCGGTGGGGGAATACGCGATCGAGGGTGGGGGTTAACGGAACGTAGAGAAGACGAGTGGAGCTCCCTCTGGCGAAGATCTCTTGTCAGTCGAGCCGTGTGCCGCGTCGCGGTCGTGTTGTGCCGTAGTGCCGTGTGCCGCGTACGTACGAGCACGAATGACGCTTTGTTTGCTGTGATTACGGAGCGATGTGAGTTCAGTGAATCCGTATCGAAGAGATTGTCGTCGCCTGGCGTGGTCAATCAAGCCAGACGATTGGTCACAGAGACCGATCGTAGTACGGGGAAAATCGGAGCAGCTCGTGGACCGCGTGCTCCGTGCCGTGTTGGTCTTTGCTCTTTTGGAGGGTTTCAAGGTTACGCTTTCATTGCCGGCACGAACGATCCGGGCCGCTGCTTCTGTCCGCGGTTCCGCTCGTTTTTTCTGTCATAAAGCGATCTAGACCGGGGATTTTCTGACACAGGTTGTTCGTTCAGTGATACTGGTCATAGAAACGGCAGTGACGACGGTGTCTATACGAAACTGCTCTCTGATCGGAGCACGTTCGTTTTTCGGAGCAATTACGAATTTTGGGGCGATCTACCTGAAAAGAGATCCATCGAATTTTGTTATTATAATATATTACGTAGAGTTTGAAATCTCTGCGTATTCGTGTTCGAGACATTAAGAACTTAAAAGTACCGGTGACTTTGAGAATAAAAAATACCGAAATAACGAACCAACTCCGTTTTCGATAGTAATTACTCCGCTGGAACATTCGGCTCTGCGGATAATCCAGTAAGGATGGATGTATAATCTCGTGTACTCTTCGTCAACTTTTTAGGCATGTCCCATAAGAGTGACGCGGAGGTACCAGCGAAAATCCTTGCTTTCATCGCGAAAAGGCGGAAGAAATCCGCGTGAAAATCAAAACGAAATCTACCGATACTTCGATTCTTCGTTTACCAAGCCGAATCTCAGCAAAATCGACCAAAGTACTGGAGATTGCCTCGAGGAGCTCGATTTTACTCCGAATCTCAAGGTCACGGGAATAAAAACACGCCAAGGTGTACATATCAGAATTCTAATACCTTGGAATCGGAGCGAACTGTTGGTGACAAGATTACGACGAGAAAATTTCTTGTGCACGACTGAAAGAAACCGACGCGTTTACGATAGTAACGAATCTGTTCGACGTGTCCTCGTCAGAACAATTAAGATCTTTAACCGAGACTCGAGAGATCTCCTTTCTTTCTTGTTGCCGGTGCGTTGACCCTGGACCTTTAAAAGTTTTTACTTTTAAAGCGGAGGAGCAGGTACGGGCGAAGTGGCGGATCAAAAATTAATTTCACGTGGTTGTGTGTGTATATATATATATGTGTGAGTGCGCGGACAGAAGCAGTGGCAGGTTCTAATTCGCTGGCCCCTGGCACAGATGGTAGTACGTTTATCGAGACACGTGTACGAGCAGTAGTTTCGATCGCGTTTGGAATGATTGGCCTCCCTCCATCGGTTATCCACGCTCGTACTTCGCAGTGCTTCGTGAAATAGATCAGGACAGAGACACGGAGTGCGATTAATCGCGTTCTTCGTTCGAACCCATCGACTTTCGATCGTTTGGAGGCAAAACGTAGCACGACGCGCGGAGAACATTTCTATATATCGAATATACACGCACTCCGAACGCCCATAGGCGGTCACCGCTCGCAGCGAACTGTTCCATTGTATCCGTAGGCGCAGATAACGATCGAAGGGTTAATTCCTACCTGTGCATCGAGTTCCAGCTAACCAAGTGGCTGGGTTAGCGTCCAGGAGATCGTATCGACGCATTGGGGCCAGTTCGCGTCTCGTAATGAGCTAGAGCACCGTCGAAGATCGAACGTGACCAGCACCCCTCCAATCGTCTATCGGTATTCTCGAAGGAGCCGTTAATCGAGGTGCCGCCCATTACAGGAAAAACCAATCGAACGCGGATCTCTCAGAGAGAGATTTCGCTCCAAATCGAATAGGAAGCATCACATGCACCGACGGGTCCAGATTTCGTGGACTGCTAGCCGACACTGAGAACCTCCGGTGATCTTTTCTAGAGAAAAGTCTCGGAAAAGTACTATTTACTCGTACGAGCCTCGTGACATTTGAAATTTCTCGGAAACTTCTCTGAAACATACATCGTGAGGTTTCCGACTGGCCCCTGGGACTTGAGTCATTGGTCACGTTTACCAGTGATGCTTCTAGAAGGAAACAAGTCGAGCAGGATTTAAAATTACTTTTGCAACTCCAATAGACTCTCTGGTAAATTTCTGGAGTATACGTTATTGGTAAATAGTAAGTTCTTCGACTGGGCCCTAGGATTACAGGCATCGGTCAGTACTCTACTGATGTTTCCAGAAGAAAACAAGTCGCGCAGGAATTAAATTTACTTTTACGAGACTTAGAATTCAAACTCTTTATTTAATTTCCTGGAATTCGAGTCATTGGTAAATTGTAAGATTTCCTTAAAAAGGAAACAAGTCAAGCAAGATTTGAAATTACTTTCGCGAGCCTAAGGAGTACAATTCAAACTCTTTGGGTTTTCTGGAGTTCATCATCCATCAGACTCCTGGGACTAGACATTGGACAGCTACTCCAGTGATACTTCCAGAAGGAAACAAGTCGATGAATTAAAATTAATTTTGTAAGTCAAAGGATTATAATTCAAGCGGGTAAATTGTAAGTTCTCCATCTGGCCCTTAGAACTAGAGACATTGGTCCCTAAGTGATGTTTCCAGAAGAACCCAAGTCGAAGAATTAAATATACTCCTGCAACTCCATTTCGAGTAAATTCCTGAAACATACGTCATCGACAAATTGTAAGATTCCATCAGACTACCCACTACTCACAGGCCTCAGTGATGTTTCCAGGAAGACCGACCTCGACAAGTTAAATTTCCTTCTGCAACCGCGAAAAAACGATAACAATTGTAACTCCTAGCGTAATTTCGTGGAATACAAATCATCGTTAAATTGTAAGGTCCCCAGCTGGCCCCTAGGCAAGCAGCTCCAGCAGCCCATGCCTTGATTCGGCCCTGAAATCGTTGAAGGGACGTCAATTCGAAGATGTCGCGGCGTGCAGTTGAGGGACGAAGCGCCTAAGGGGTCAAGAGACAAGGGAAAGGGTCGCTCGAAGGTTGAAGGGACAGGGTGCGTTTCTCGAGGATCATCGAAAAGTCGCGAACATGACGATCGCCAGCAATATAGTGGTCGAGTGGTTGCGCTCGCTCCACCTTGGCCAGTACTCCGAGTCTTTCATCGATAATGGCTACGACGACCTTGAGATCTGCAAACAGATCGGCGATCCCGATCTGGACGCGATAGGGGTGTTCAACCAGACCCATCGCGCGCGATTGCTCCAATCGGTGAAGACCCTCCGAGAGGAGGGAGCTGCGAGCGTTTACTTTACGCTGGAGGAGAGCAACGACTGCCTGTGCGACAACGTCAGCTCCAAGTCCTCGAGGACATCCTCCGAGAGACCACCCAGTGATAAAGAGGTGCAGAGGGCCTCGCCGACCGCCAGCTCCTCCAGTGGTGGTCAGGAATTAACCAAGTTCGCGGACGAATACGAGGAGGGGAAGGCGGAGCTCGTCAGAATCCCGAGGATGCAGTTGAGGATGCTGCTGCAGGAGAGGCTGAGACACGACGGCATCAGGCTGGCCTGTCAACCCTACACAACACCGGTAAACCCCGTTTGCCTTGTCCTTTGTTTATTCGTAATTTCACTCGCTTCCTCTCCGTATCCTTGGCTGGGTACGTTTAAGAGGAATAGGTCATTTATCTTCCTAAGTAAGACGCCGTGGTAAAAAATTTATAAGGAGAAGATTGCGCACGGAAGGGCCCCCGCAAGATGAACGACGCGAAATTTGCGGACGTTTATTATCCTTCGAGATATCTACCATATTTTGTTCCTCGGAATGGAGTAACAGTGGTTGGATGTATAGTTACTCAACGACAGTCCAGATTAGAATGCGCAGGAATTCTTTTGAAGATGATATTTTGCATATAGTTTTGTTGAGAACTCTAGGACACTGCAATTGATTTTTTGGTCTTTGAGTTTAAAACTATAATAAAGTAAGTAGGATTGAAAATAGTTGATTGTGGTAGATAGAATTCAACCTTTCGAAAAATTGAATTTATTTAAACTACTTGTGAAAGGATCACATTACTCACAAATACAGTTTAGAATTGTAAAGAAAATAAAGTTAAATATTTTAAGAATTGATGTTTCGTGGCACATTTCTTACATTTAAGCAAGATTATGACCAAAGTCAACGAATTTAATAACACGTATTACGATCAATTATTTTAAATCGTACTTAATTTATTAATCTTTGAATGCGAACACCTTTAGCAGGGTAAATTTAAGGATACTGCACTTTAATTTCAAAATATAGGACAATTTAAAGAATTCAAGAAAAAGTCAAGACTAGTTAGAGCATCACATATACGTGTATCAATTGAATGCACTTCGATCTAGGATGTGAAGAAAGTACACAACTACTAGGAATTAATTAGAGAAGTATATTTAATTAAATTACGAATCGAATTGTCAGACCTTGGAATAACTGTCCGAGTTATAGGTCCTTGATAACTGAAGATAATGCAGAAAACTTGTAAGCCTCGAGAGACACGCCCCGAGAGCACAGGTGTAATCCTGTGATTCATTATTTCGTTACATTAACCACCACTCGAGATAAGACAAATAGCGCTGCGAAATCGCATATTTTGCGTGTATCTTATCAAATCCTATGACATAATTAGTGGGGATTTTATTAAGAGACTACGTTTCCGGCCAAGAAAAAAATATATTCCCCAAGGTATTTGTCTTATTCCATCAGATAAAAAGCATACTAGTGTGATAAAAGAATCCAATAAGTTCGTGAAAAAAGCATCAAATTTCAGAAACATTTTTTTAGCATAAAATATTCGTTTCTTAATTGACATATACATGGAACTGTACTTAAAATGTTACAGGATGTGAACAACTAACATACTGAGAACTTCTTTTGTGCGCATTTGGAAACGTTTATTTATTTATTTTTTTTCAATTATTATTTTCTTTTCCTTCAAGAACAGTATGTAATAATACAAACATTTCGTAAAATGGATAACGATATAGTTCTTTCCCAAAAATCTGTTCAAAATATGGAATGTATGTCGTTCATGCAAGACGTCGATATCGAGAAAAATAATATTGAAAATTTTAGGTATGCCAAACGTAACCTTCTCCAAGTGCTCACGTGCTTCCAGAATTTTTGATATTGGAATTTCGATACCCCTGGCAGCTTTGCACTATGCATACATAGAGGGCATAGAGGCCCGCTAAAATTGTTCTTTATAAAGTTTATTCACTCACGTAGCTTTGTAGAATTAACCCTTAATTCACCTTACGCGGCGTCCTTACGAAAGCGGAAGGGTGCATGGACGTTCTCTTTTCTAACCTTTTATAATTTCCATCTAAAGTAGTGTCATTTAAGGAATATATTTAATTATCTTTTAATTTCTAATTTACCATCGAAGATTGGTATTTTCTTTAACATAAACGAAAGCAAACAACAATTCTACTATATTATCTGTACATTGCAATATCTGAAATAATCCAGTAGGATTTTTAAAAGTAAAGGTTAACCGTTTCTATGAAATTAACCAAATGGTAATAGATAAATGAACTCGATTGAAACGAAATAAGACATAATTACACCGCACATTATAGAATTATAAACTACACGCCAACTAATTATATATTAGGAAATGTAAAATTCCTACGTATCGTTAATTCGGCATTGTGATCAATGTAATGTACAGGAAAAGTGCTGACGCCAAAATAATAGGGCGAATTTGCATTTCATGGCGCGGCAGAAGGGGGCGTTCTCCGAGTTAATTACAAGCGCGAAAAAGTGCGAAAGGACCCATAGTTTATTGTTCGATGTTCCCTACGAAATCGTAATTGTGTACGCAGAGCGAAACAAATTGCTAAGCGAACGTATAATTATGATTTAGTTTAATTTTAACCATCCTTGCTCATTACTGTCGTAATACTTTATGAACGGAGTTAAAGTCCATTAATATTTTATCCATTATACTTTTAAATTAAAAATAATAAAACTAGTAATGTCCCATAGATGACATACATCTCCAAAGGGTTAGAGATAATTATATTTATGTAATACTACTCACAAGCCTACTTAGTTACATGTAAATCAAAATATTTACAAAAATATTCACTTAGATTCAAGGCTGAAAGATTTAACCTCTTGAGACACATCGACACAAATGTATACGTTTGCTTTTATATCAAAGTTATCATTACTTATCCCATGATAAAGTAAGCCAGCACTTTTGTATGCTAAAATCGATTTACAGATAAAGATTTGCTTTGGTTTGTGTGTATTCGTTTAGAGCAAAGAAATTCATTTAAAATTCAATCCTCGAGAGGTTCAGTGAATCGCTAATTATAATCCCGTTATTGTCGCCTATTCGCTGCCATGTAGCCACACATGATCGCGACGAATGTAAAGCCTGGTCGGTTCATCGAGTTCGAAACAACCTGCGAAGTTCGGTGTCGTCGTTAATGATTCGCGCAACGCCGCGACGACGGCGTCTTCCCCCGTATCCGCGTTGCGTTAATTAGCGAGCGGGTCGAGCTGAATGCAGATGGATAGATAGACGCCTTATATTGGGAGGCCTCTGGGTGGTTTTATCCCGGGGGTGGTATAAGTCTCGCCGTTATTTACATTCGTGCCGCGACATTACGGCCCCCGACGTTTACGTCGTGGCTCTTATTTCACCGGTTTATAGTCACGGTGCTTAACTTATTGGCGAAGGTGGCGCTTATACAAATCGCGACTGGCGTCGAATTTGAATGATAAAAGGCCACCTCTTGCGGAGACAGTAAATTACGCGGGAATTGCGATTGGACCTGGATCCGGGGAAATTTACGGGTACGTGTGATACATTTTACACCGCGGACTCTCTCCGGCCCATTAGTTTCTAAATTTTAATTCGAGCGGGACGCGACAAATTATCCTTTAATCGAATTAGGTTGTAGGAAAGAGATTTCCTTAAAATACTGTAATGATATTATTTATTTGATTCGGTAATTGTTGGAATTATACGTAGGTTAATGTAACGATATGATGCATTGGTGTGAGTTAAAAAGAAACATGTGTATATAGGCATGTGTGAGACTAGGGTATTTACTTTGGAGCTGATATCGATTAAATGGGAAAGATAAAAGAATATTTAGCTGAAATTTAGCATGCTTTTCCCATCATATATATCCTGCAATCCACGTAAGTTTCAGAGCAATATTTATCAATTTCTGATATTCGAGAACCAGAAAACCGTGCATCATTTTTCAAATGTCTAATTACCTAACTTCTAACCAAAACGTTTAATACGACTGAACTATTAAGCACACCGGTTATACGCAAGATTAATGTCGAACTTATTGAAGCTCGTTCGAAGAATTTGAACATTTTACGCGGGTAGGGTTTTACGATCCGTAGCTATAAAAAACAGTATTTACCGTCGGGCTATTAATGAAATTACCAACTCGTATAACTCACTTCTGATGGTGGGGCTGATCGATAAACCAGTTGGCCAATGTGCAAATTACAGCGCGAAAAAGTCTAGGAATTAGCGGGTTAAGGGCGATTATCTCCAGATTCGCGTTATCGCGGGATTGTTTTATAAGTAACAGGGGTACGAAAGAAGATAAAGAGAAAAAAATGGTTCATAAGCTAAATAGGATTTCAAAGAGTTGACCGTGATTAATGCCCAGTCATATTTCCTGTAGAATTATCGTGCACAGTTATAGTTCACTTTATCTTATGTTTATTGTTAATGAGTGGACTTTCGTGCCATGAAACAAGTAAGATCCAATAAAAATAAACTTCAGTGGTAGATTGGTTGAAGTTTTTCATTCACAACTGCCACTGAATATTAACTAAACAAAAATTTATTCAACTGAAAATTCATAAGTAAGTTGTAGACACTCCTCTTCCCTGCAACTTGTGTCTCATTTATTTTTTAAATCATGTTTCTCGAATAAAATTGAATTAACTCCTATACCTAATAAACCCACATAATCATTTAACGATATCGACTCGCAAAAGGAAGATTACGCTATCCAGTACTCCATTTCAAATTTAATAACGACGATCATCGCGAATGCGTATTTTCCACCGTATTAAGAAACCTAGCGTGCGCCTGCCTCTTCCGTGCGCACGCATACTTGCACGCAACTGATCGCGGCTCAAGAAAAAGGTAATAAAAATGGCCCTTCTCTCTCAGAGCACGGTGGTCCCGGTCGTCACTTGCTCCTTTTTACCCCTCCGTGCGCGATACACGCGTTTTCGGTACGTATGTGCGCATGCGTGGTCGATCGTGGCTCGCGAACGGATCGACCTTCGTCAAAATGATACTTACCACCTCCGGCTCGGACGCGCATACTTTCGTATTTATTGGCTCAATCCGGAAGGTCCGATTTGTAGGGCGAACTCGATTCGCGTATCTGGCCAATCAACATTCCAAGCATAGGGACCGCGTAGCCAATTACGGTACCCGCGATACAATCAGCGCCAGTGCGCGCCTATTTATTTGTTCAGCTGCTCGTTTATGGGCGCGACGAGTAAACACGTCGTGAATATTGCATCGAAACGCGTGAAACATTCGAAGA